GTAGTACCAAACACATCCTTAAGTCTAATTGGAGTTATTGTTAACATGTATCTTTATCAGGGAAGAAATTAAGGAACAACAAAATGAACGTTTACGTGCAAATTCGAGCTACCCAAAAGATGCATATTATATGTGAAAATTGCATTGATGCATATTATGTATTGTTTCATAATGTGTGTTTGTGTTGTATAGTAGTGTGTTCTTTAATGAATACAACGTTTGGATTGATGGTATGGTTCTCCGTCGTTACATAATGTCACACATTTATAATTTGAATGGTAAACCTACAAAAAGTTGTAGGGTACGGTGTAGAGCTACTATGAAAATGAAAATGTAGGGTACATGATAAAATAGAATTATTAGTAAATAATAAATAAAGACAAAATGAGAAGAAAATAAGATATGCGATCACACCAAATCGATCATTACACAAAATGGGTCATTTAATCGTGTTACCTAATGATATGGATTTAAACAATACAATACAATAGAATTTAAGTAACAATCAAAACAAACATTGTACTTAACTAACAATACAATACAATACAATGGGTAACAACCATCCAAACAAGGTGTAAGTCTACATGGTAACCTGTAAAGCATGAAATTTATCACAACATATTTTGTTCTTTGTATTTGGTAGTAAAATCTACCTCCACGAGGTAGGGGTGATGTCTGCATACACTCTACCTTAACCCAAACCTCACCTGTGGGATTTTACTGTGTATGTTGTTGTTGTTTTATTTGGTAGTAAATTTTTAAAATAGTATCAACTACCTGTAAACTTTGCTGTTATTCAGAATGAGTTTACTTCTCTTTACCAACCAAATTGTGAAACTTATTGCAGTTTTCAGATGGCTCCTCTGAGGTGGAGTTAAGATTAGAACTTGGGCAGGGAGATGTAACTCCTAAGGATATATATGTAGATGCAAATGAGAGCTCATTAGCAATTAGAGTACAGCAATCTGGAATCGTTCGGACTCTCATGGAAACCAGTACTCTGTATGAGAAAATAAAGCCTGCAGAGACAATATGGTAAATGAAAGCACAATTTTAGTGAATTTGTTATATCCTTGTGCAACGTTTGCTGAAATAAATCGTGTCATGTAGGTACATAGATGAAGATCAATTAGTAATTAGCTTGAAGAAGCAAAACTACGAGTTGAAATGGCCTGACATTGTGGAGTCTTGGGAGTCCCTAAGTGCTGGAATTACACAACTCCTTAGAGGAACATCAATATACTTAGTTGGGGAGTCAACTGAAATCAACCAGAGGATTGCTCGAGAACTGGCTGTTGGACTAGGGTATGTTCCTCACTTTCATGAGTAAATGATAATGCTGCATGCAGTGATGGAGCTACAGTATTCTTATATGTCATATATTAGTCCTCTTTCACCGAACCTAGGTGAAAAGAGATGAATGGATCATGATAAATAGCCTGAATGGTGGTTTTCCAACATCATTTTTTTTTCACTTGACAAAAGAGATGGATTAGTTACAATTTTCCTTCTTCCACATTCATGATCGTCCTTTTACATTACATTACTGCAATTTCCTCTTTCCCCTGCACCCTCGGGATTCTTGCTTGCTCCTTTAGTCAAGATCTTCTAAAAAATGTGTTCAACTCTTATGGTGGTTAGGTACACTCCACTTTGTACAAAGGAGCTGCTAGAAGCATATGCCAAGCAATCAATGGAATCGTGTGAGTTACATCCATTTTTCTTTTCACAGAAGAAGATAATTATCGTTAAACAATAAGTTTTACAAGGAAGAACAATAGAAAAAGAAGTGTTTACAAGGAAGATCTGAATTTTCATAACTGCACAATGATAAAGCAGATAACTTAGGCAAGAGATAAAGCAAATATTGGATTTTGAACATTGTGTGAATGATGCTCACTGGAACAATTTATTTACTTTCTCACACATCTAAATGCATAGTAGCTCTTTGTTTGGCTTCACTTAAAAATTTCTTCTTTCCTGTTTCTTTTCTTTATTCAATTGTTCTCTAACCAATTCCAGGGGTTAATGAGGAGGGGTCTGATGCTGTAGCAGAAGCAGAAAGAGCTATACTAGAGAGTCTGAGTAGGTATTTACATTGTCTTGCATATCTTACTCATTTCACTTGGTACTGGAAGTAGAATGTATTTATATTTGATTCTTGTTTTAGCCAAGCCCGTGCTGTTATTGCAACCTTGGGAGGGAAGAAAGGCGCTGCTGGAAGAGTAAACCAATGGAGGCATCTTTTTGCTGGATTCACCGTCTGGCTTTCCCTTTCTCAAGCCACAGGTTAGGAAACTAAGCTCTCTCTCCCCTTCATTTGGATATACAGTATGTTTTACCAGCCTATCTATTGTTACATTGCTCTTTTTTTTTGAGACGGTACATTGCTCTTTTTTTTCCGTCCATGTATTTCCAATCCCCTTCCTTAGATAGTCGAGCAGTTACAGAATACATAGTTATTACAACTTTTTTCTTTTTTGAGCAAGGAATGGAGAGCTTAAGTGTACATCATAAATCAGCTGACAAACTGCTCTTCTTGCATGTGGCATTATAAATTGATATTTGTAGTGAATGCTTCTCTGAATTGACTCCAGGGAAGTGGTAAAATTCCTTAGTTGACAGGCCAATATAGGTATGTACATGTGGACCATAAATAATGTGAAAAAGAAAAATTACAAAAACTAATCACCCTCTGGGAATATTAATTTTAGCAGAAAAAGTAGTATATTTTCTTTATTTGATTCTTTTTGAGTCTTTCAATTGCTAGAAACATTTCTCTACTGTTGATACTATATAACTTACAGAGAGAAAGAGATAAGAAATGGACATGAAAATTGGAACTGAGGTAGAAACAAGGTTCTCCTGATTCTAAGTGCTTCTGTGAACCCCTATGTGAATCAAACTTAGTAGACAACTATAGGAAGAATCTTAAAATTGGCATCTTAGAATTTTGCACTTTTGAAGTTAGAATCACTGGCTAACACCTGATCAAGTGCGGATAATTGATCATTAAACTGAGAGCAACTGGAGTAAGCAAGGAGGACGAGAAGGAGGTCGTCAAAAGTATAATGGAGCTTCAACTTTCAAGTCCATGTTGAAATTGTAGGAACATGACATCACCTCTCTTGCAACAGGGGGGCCAGACTGGGGGAATAGCAAACAGTATCCTTTGAAGGACCCCATACATACAGTACAACCCATTAAGAATACTTTTCTTTGTTGTGCTGAAACAGTTCACAACTACCAAGTGCACCGCCAAATTATAATGGAAGTTGTCATATTTCTTAAGCTTGTCGTTGTCTTTGCTAATATCAATTTCAGATGAAGAATCTGCAAAAGAGGAGGCAAAAAGGAATATGCAAGATAGTGGTCAAGGTTACTCTAACGCGGAAGTGGTAGTCAAGCTCGGAGGTTGGGATCCTAACTATTCAAAAGCAGTAGCTCAGGCTGTGCTTAGTGCCCTTAAGCGCTTAATATTGGCAGATAAAGACCTTCCAGGTACACCAAGTCTCATGATCATGCTTTGTTCTATCCTTAGTTATTCACAAATGAACTTTGAATTTGTTGTGGATATAAAATGATCCCCTTTCCCTTGACATGAACCAGAAGTCTACACAAGCTTGTCATGTGCTCTTTACTGTTATTTTTTTCTGTTCTGAAGGGAAAAAGAGTTTATACGTAAGGTTGGGCTGCCGAGGTGATTGGCCAGACATCAAACCCCCAGGCTGGGATCCATCAACGAGCATTGATGCATCTTCTCCGCGGTCATAGCAGAATCACAGTTTATGCATTTAAATGTAACTATTTCTCTACCCCTTTGGCTCTTGTCTCAATGTATCATAATTAGAAAGTTTCTTCTCGAGGATATCAAGTTGGATATTCTCAACCTGCTCTTTCTATATTAAGGGGAAACAAAGACTAAGGTCTTGGCCTGCATGGACAAGACTGATTGATTGTCCAGAAAGTTCCCATTGAGCCCCAAAGGCCATCCGGTTAGTCAGATTTTGTTATGGAAAATAGTGAATTTGTATGCTGTGAATAATTAAATGTTGCTTATATTCATTCTTTATTCTAATACAGTAACACCTCATTCTACTGGCATCGTTTGTCTAATAATTTTATGACTGCTATAGTGAGGTGTTCTTACATATGTATAATATTATGAGCACACATTTAAATACAATTTTCCTCCTGGACACTTGAACTTAAAAATTATGTGGGTTAGATTAAACTTGATTATCATAAATATTTTAATATTTTATTTTACTACAAAATATTTGATAGTTGTATTAAGGAGTAATTTTGCAATAGTGAAATATTACTATAATTTATTACGAGGTTTGAAAATATCTTTGTATGTAGTAGTGTCTTTCTGATATCTTCTTGGTTCATACCAACAACCCATAAGGTAACCATCCACACCATAAGGCATTGAGATTAATTGACTAACGACCCATAAGTTAACCGTCAACACCACAAATTATGGAACGACGATATAATTGAAACACAACAGAGCCACTTCTCGATTGTTACATAGTTCTCTTGATAAAAAATTCCCAATGTAGAGTACGGTAATTTAGAAGAACGAAACAAAAATCCTTTTAAACACAATTAAGAGTATAATACATATTCCGGAAGCTGCCTGTCATTTTCAATTTTCAAGAGATTTGGCCTAAAGAATACACACATCATGTATCTCAAGATTTAAGAGTTTCTAGGAGGCAAGTGAATTATAGAAACATGATAATGCAAGTAAAGTAACCTCATTGAGGGAAACTCACAAAAGGACAAATTTCACCCCTCAGCTTCAAAGTGATTCCAGTACAATGCATAAGCTTTAGTTAACATACAATGACACCGATGTTTGCTACAGTTTTATTCCCTTCAAGGCCAGGGTGGGGTGGGAACGGAGTTGGTCGCATGTCACCCAACCTAAAACCAATTTAAGCTCCAGTAACTTCTGCTGTGCACCAATTATTGCCATCACAGATAGGAGAGAAATGGAAGTCGCATATATAGAAGAAAAGAAGGGGCAAGCCTCGACATAACTGCATCTAATCACAAAATGTTCAAAGAAACTAAAGCTACATAACACCAAGAACAAAAGAAAAGAGATAGAGAGAAGAGGATGACGCTTGATTGGTAAAAGTGGACCCTTGGCCACCAAGCAGGCAAACCACCTTTCTGGTACAGCCTCAACAATTACTCTCCCCACTCGGCACATTCATAAAGCATGGAGATGCGGAAGGCGGCTGCAAACACAAAGGACAAACATTTAAAACCTCAAAAAACCATTCTATACAATTCATTCAGTAGCCTGCATATACCAACTGCACATCCATATACCTGCCAAGAGTAGAATATTTAAATCCCACCACATAAAAGAAGCAAAAGAGACTACAGAGTACATAGCAACAAAGGGAAGACCCAAAAAGATGTACTAATAAGATGTGTAAAGACCTATACCAACCAAATTAATAAAATAAACCCAGGAAGATGTAAACCAAGAGAAGTCACGTCGTGGAACAAGACCTCACAAATTTCACCCGTACATCTGAGAAATTCAAAGATCCAGGTGTAAATCACATTTACACTCTGTTAGTTACAAAAATATGCAGTACCTCGTATTTCAGGTCAAATAAATGGTATACTTAAGAGCCAAAATTGCACTTGCCCCTCAATTCCTAATCTAGTTTTTGATTTAATGGAATACAAATTCATCATATACCATAAAAACAAATCCAGTCAATTCTTGAATAAAAACACTGATATAATGAATTCATCGAAAGCTTTGATCAATCCTTCGAGACTATTCCATCATTCCCTACACATCCAGGATTCAAGAGGAACAAAGTTGTACTTTACAAGTCATAATTATTTGTTACGAAATAGTCACTCAACTTTGTCTAAATATCACTAGAAGTCACTAAACAATGTTTTGTAATAAAAAATTCATTCAACTTTACTCAAGTATCATAGAAAATGTCTTATTTGTTTCCCTCTAAGTGACTCCATGATATTCAGGCAAATTTTAGCTTCTCTCCTCACTAAACAGACTTTTTTATTAAAAATATAGTTTAGTGATTTCTGTGATATTTAGGTAAAGTTACCAACTTCTTCACTATAAAAATATTTTTGTGACTTGGGTACAATAAAGTAAAAGCTGAGTGTATCAATGATATTAACCCAAAAGCCGCTTCTAAAAATATACCAGTTGACATGCATGTCCTACATAAATGAATAACATTAAGACATCTATGTAATCTAGCATTTAGATTCTAAATTATCTTTATTCTTGTTCTGATGTTAGGATAATCTCATCCATTAACATTTAGTGGATCATTTACTAATATAGGGAATGAATTTCATCATGCCTATACTGTAATCCTCCCCCCTACTTGTGTAAGCATTCTTATGATGATGATAGTACATCACTATAAAATTCACTCCCTGGAAAGAAAGTAAAAGATGATGGAGAAAATCTGAAAATACCGCCACAACAAGGGCATTCAAAAATTTAGTAACCACCACCAACATAAACAACCAGATTGACTGTATAGTGACAACAGTAAGGTTTCAATACACTTTAAACTAGAGGATAGATTCTTGGACCAAAAAGGAAATACAAAACAAAAGGATACATATGCCACCTAAACTTTTTAAGAAAAACATGCCACCCAAACTAAGAGTAAACCAGTTTTTTTTCCTACTTTGCTTAAACCAAAATCAATATATCAATTCGAGATGCAGTTGTCAACAAACACCCCATCGGAAGTACAAAACTACCAAATCATACATGGATCGGAGCACAGTACCTTACACTGGAGATTGGTTATGGTAGACTTCAATAACTGATCACCCACTATCAACCTCAGCCTTCTAATGAAATCGTTCCGGGAAATTTTCTTGCTCTAAGAAGAAAACAAAGGAGAGAGGTTCAGGGCGCAGGAAGAAAGTCAAAAAGGAAATCATTAGACACAACCATCAACACAACATACCCTGAATAAGTCATAATGTGCATGAACCAATTTCAAATCTTTTGGAGACACTTTAGCTGAAATAGCTCCGAATAACATAGAGAAAGGCATCCAGGGGGATTTAGGGGATTTATTTGTACCCACACCAACACCACGGGATTGCTGTATGTTTCTTACAAATTGACAATTCCCCTAATAGCATAAAACAGGAGATGTTAAAACAAGGATATTAACTTATTGAGAAGACTTGGGCTAAAAATCCAAAGAAATTTCCATACTTCTTTGCAAGTGAACGATAAATTATTAAATGAAAGAAAAAAAAATCGAGCAACATGAAATAACTTTTCCCCCAAAATTGCTAACACTAGAAGAAGGCAGAGGCTAAAAATAAAAATATATCTTTTGAGTTTTGACTAGGTTATTTCTTAACTAACAGAACAGTTCCAATTAGAAAACAAGCAAAACTGCCTTGCCACCTAATAGTTTCTACATGTAGATGTGCTATGTAAAGCAATTGCATTGACAATCTCATTACCGTGCCAACAGCAACACAAGTCACATGCCAAAAAGAAAGAAATTTATCACCCAGTTTGCTTCCTATGGTGTCAAGATATCATCACACTGAATGCTCCTTTAGCTAAAACTTGAGAACAGTCCCTCACGGGAAACTACACACACCCTTTTGCTTAGACTCGGAAGAATCAACTAAAAGAAGAGATCATTCTCTTTCTTCCAATAGTAAGATTACCGTAAGCGTGGAGATCAAGTGCAACAATGCTTCACATCAAAACAGTTTTGCTGACAAAATGATCAAAATTTTAGAATTCACACATCCTCTGAGAAGCTAACTTTAATCCACCTCTTACAAGTTCGCCAAGGTCTGTCAATGAATGAACATTCATATATAGCCAAAAATATGTGCTGATACAAAGCCTTCAAACCTCATATTGCAAATTCTTGTGCGGACCCGCAGCAAAAAATACTATCTCAAGTCATAGATCAGTTTTCTGAAGACGAGAGCACAGAAGGTACCCACTGGAGCAATCAACTTGTGCCAAGAGAAGCACTTCATGTTACCCCATATTGATGTAGTAAGGAAAATAGAACTCGCATTAGTTATCTTCCCCTCAAAACAATTTTTGTTAACCTCTATCATATTAGCAAAAGAATAACAAAGACCATTTATATTTACTTAATTTTTAATGCTTGCTGTTCTTTTTTTTGGGGCGGGGAATCGGGTGGAATGAGGGGAAAGTCAAATGAAGGATTACCAATTCTGTAGGCAATTTATTCAAGTCCAACTGCTCCTCAGAACCCTGAGAAGTAACTCTGGAGACATCAAGCCGACTTTCTTCCTTTATTGGAGCCCCTGGAAATAAAATACAAACTCAGAGCCACTTCTGAAAATAGATGGTAAAAACAACACAACCAAAATTAAAATGTATTTGAACATGAAGATTACTCAATCAGTAAGCCAACGATCATTGAGTGATAATAAAGTAATTTGAAAAGTATAATTACTGAATGGCACATTAAATCGGCATAAATGTTCTTTTTACGCCTTGGATAAATAAATCAATATGTTATGCTGTAAAATATCTGGAACATCTTTATCTCTCTACTTCAAAAATACCTTTGAGCAGTGTATTATGATTGCAAGTTTCTCTCTTTTAATCATTGATAAGCTAGTCTTACTCTAGAACCTTCTCCATAATGATATAAAAGTTCTTATGTATTAAAATAAGGCATTGTGGAACTAAATAGCTAGTGCCATCGTGTTTAACGCCCTCCAAAAGCCCATAAAATATCAATGATGTAAGCCAAAATCCCACAAACTTCTTAACAATGGACTATCAAGCCCAATTATCTAAAAAAGACTCCAAACAAATTAATCTATGGTTTCCAAGCAATGCTCCATTAAATGCAGCCTTCAGCAGTTGCGAATACATTTTGAAAATCTAAAAAAGGAAATCAAACAAAATATAATAACAATGACCCTCAGATCATAAATAGTTTAGATCAAGATACTTCAATGTGAGGCACTAGAAATAGAACAATCACATAACAAGGCTAAGAAACGTGTCATTGTCACAGTGACCCGAATCCTCAACATTACATGTGCGGAAAGTGACAACACAACCTGACAATTGTTAAGAAAGTTACAAAGTTATTTACTTCACAAATAACAAAACAATAGTGTTGCACATCATAATAATCATTACAAGTATTCAAAACAAGAGCCAACTTCTGTGTTCAAAACTTTTCTCAGGCAGCAAATATCTCAAAATCCTATCTTTAAATAGTAGGAAAAGTAGTAACACAAGACATGATCGCCAAAGCAGTGCACATCCAAATCTTTTGTATTAGTTGATCAAGCATAGTAATTTTATTTTTAAAGCAAGTTTTTTTTAAAAGGGAAGTAGGTCCCTGGATGTAGAATTAACAGATAATATTTGACTGATTTCACAGATAAAACGTGAACTAAAAACTCTGTTACTTTGGAAGTCTGAAGTACTGCAATATTAAAAATAACAAAGAGGAAATGCTGTAGTTTCTCTTTAAGGGAAGATGACATACTCAGGGTAATCAGCAATCAACACACTATTTAACTTCATACTAATCATGATATTCTGACATTTAAATGTAAGGAAAACGAGATAAATAAGACACCTTCTGCTCCTGAAGACATCCTGAAGCTCACAACATATTCGGGATATATGTGTGTGTTCATATTCATGTTCCAAACAGTATAGTAAGTAGGACTCTCCAGATCATCAACACCACTATCATATTTATCATTGCTTGGATAAGATTGCTCAGAGCCAAAATGCAAAAGTTCTTCATTGCCCAAAATGACACGACAAAGAACCATGTAACGGATGCCATTTTCGTCAATATCACAGCTAGCGGCACTGATGAAGAGACAAAAAAAAAGTGAAACTGAAGTTAGATCCTCCTGAAAGATAAGATCAGTGGAATACAGAGGACAATTATTTTTTTTATTTTTTTTGACAATTATTGTTTCTTTTGTTTTTTCTTTTTTTTATGGGGGAGGGGGGATGTTTTCATTAAATATCAGGAGATGATATCATAATCACAACCAAATGTGTTCAGAACACAGCATTGTGTTCTTTAAGATATTCTTTCCCCTTTTTATTTCCTGAACACCCCCTGCAGTTATAGGAGGAGCGCAGTAAAAAAAATTGGAACTGCATAATCACAATGATCAATGATCTCCATTAAGCAACTGGATAAATTTAAAAACCATTCTAAGATCATGATATTGGAACTCCAAACAATAATGAGATCATCAATAAAAATGATTTCTCATTACAAAGTATTACCCAACCTTTTAGAGGCACAGTCCTGGGCAATGAGGTGCACTCCGACGCCAAGATTAGTCTTCTGTCCACGTGCCCCATGCATAAGGCCATAGTTCATAATTGTAGATACTACCTCTTTGGAAGCGGCAAGCCAAGCATACCGAACATTGGAGTTCCCACGATACTTTTGGGTTATCTCAACCTGCTTCTCAAACAGTTCCAAGCGATTTCTCATATATATACTTAAGCATTGACTAATTTTGACTATATCCACCATACAGATGGTATTCATTCCCTTAACAAACATAGTTTTAACAGATTCTGCATCCACCAACTTAAGTGTATCCTCTAATATAGGAGACAGACTTTCCTGATCCTGTTGATTTTCTGCCACATATGATTTTTGATCAACAGCAAATTGTTGATTTTCTTTTAAAGGATCAACTTTAATCCTTTTAACACGGACATTTGACTCTTCCACACCTTCATCCACTTTGCAATTATTTGGTCCATTAAAATCTATTTCAAGATGCAACTTGATGTTAGTTGCCCTATCCGGCTCAGCAGCACTGAATTCTTCAGTTCTCTGCGATTGGATTTCAAAGTTGTCATGCATTTTACAACTGACGAGACATAAATCAGGGAAGAAACAGCCACCTGCTTCGTCTATCCAGGCAATGGGTTTCTCTAATCCAGTAACCAAATTTACCTGAACCATATATAGAATATCAAGTATTACATGAAAGCCACCAAAGTTCACCTCAATCACAGCCTTCTTTGCACGAAAATCTTCTTTGACTATACGAACAATATCTTGAGGGAAATCATTCCATTCACCATTCTGATGATATAAAACACGTTGTGGCAGTCCACTTTTAATGAAATTTGAGTAGTTCTTAAGTGTCGATTTCCTGAGATGTGATCTGCAATTAGATTCACCTTCTACAGTCCTTTTCCTCTTACCAAGCTTGCTATAAAATGAGCTACAATTTGGTTGAAATGATAGCTCCTCCAGCTTCTCAGTGCCAGCTCCAACTATACGTGCCACGTACTGAGATGCTACTTTACTTTTTGAGTCGACGTCAGCTGTCCTACGGTCATTATCTAACACTTCAACCCAGTTTGACTCCATTTATCTACAGGCAACTACTATTTACAAATTTCTAACAAAAAGACTAAATCCTAAACTAGTATAGCACAGGTCTGTCATAACGAATTTCTGAGAAGCCGCATCATGAAGAACGAAATGCAAAACCTGACAGGAGAAAAAAGGCAATTAGAAAGCCATTCATTCGAAATAAAATGGATAAGGATCTCTTCATATGAGCAGCATGATACTCGCATAAAAGAACATGTCATAGTTAAAAATTACATAGCTAAGGTAATCTAACACTAACTGAACACTGAGTCCAGCAATAGAAGTAAATTTCATGTTTTTTGGTGTGCGAAACAAAAGCAAATATTTTTCACACTTCTTTGTGAAAGAAAAAGCAAATTTCATGCCTAAACGCATATAACTATGTGCCAAATTTATTTACTTCCTGCAAGTGTGAACATCTCTCCCTAAAATCAGTAAATTGTTCCGACGCCTATGGAACTTTGAGAAACCTACCAAATTCTGCAATGAGTGGCCATCTCGGCAGAAGCATGTTGTCTCCATAATGTTGATGTCAAGTCAACAAATTTCCCTTTGTACAAAGGTAACTTACGAGCTAATTTAATTCACCTCCTCTGAAAACATAATTTTTGTTAGCATTGAAAGACAAAAAGATGCACATAAAAATGCCGAAACTTAAATTTCCAGATAAAAGGAAATAAATAAAGAAAAAAGGAATTAAGGTCTATCATTATCTTTCTAGCAAGAAAATCAAGATTAGCATTACACTTAAATCTCTTACTTGCACTTAAAACTTCAGCTAATATTCAACCGTGAACAAACACCAGAGAAACAACCACGTGAACTTTTTGTGTTTTTCACCTTTTTGTTTTCAAAACCGTCTTGAATTAAATTATAATTCAGCAAACATGTAACCCCCACAAAATATATTCATACATACATATTATGATTTAGCACTTCTCGACAAATATCATTTTTTATTATTCTATTGGGTGTACAATTGGGCAGTAAAAAACTTTTTTGTACTCTTGGGCGCAGATCCTCCTATATATATATATATATATATTGAGAATAACGCCTCACGCCCAACCATTCAAGATAACGCTCGTATCCTCTGTATTTCAGAGGCGGTTGGCACAGAGTTAGCTGAGTGTATATATAGGTGTCTCTTGTCTGTTGGTAACACCACGATGGGAGACTATGAGGGACAAAGATTCTAATCCAAATGGCTAGGTAATTTCTTCACATGCCGCCTCCTTGACTTGACAGTTACTGAGGATGTACTTATTACCATGTGGAATTGTCAAGGTGCCGATGTTGCCAATTTACACACAAGCTTTCATGGCTATACAAAGTTAGCATTGTTCTCATATTTCAATTCTTCAATATAAACATTCCCGCAAATTCACCATATGGTCACGCAACCCTTTAATTAGTCAGATGCCTCTCCTTGTTTTCTCAACAACTCGGACACACAATACGCATGTCTAATTAAGAAGTGATAATCAAATAAAGTATTCCACTCAAGTGTAAAAATATAACCCTCATTTAATTTAATCTTATCTTCGTATATATAAAACCTCAATAAACTTACCTGGAAAATGAAAAAAAAAACTTGCTACTTCAATAATTTATCATACCGCACCGCAAATAACCAGCAAAAGTCTAATAATTTTTCATGATTTATGTAACAAGAAAAAACTTCAAAAAACAATTTTTTTTCTCTTAGCACAATTTTTCACGATTTTATAACTAGAAAAAACTTCAAAAAATACTCACAAAATAGAAACAAATCGGAAAAAAATATTTTATCACAAATTAATTCCAGAAAAATGAATTCCGAGCCGATCTACCCTGGAAACCTTCGGATTTAGCAAAATCACTTCCAAAACAACGCAAATCGAAACAAATCAGTCCAGATCCAAGCAGTGAACCAAAAAAAAAAAAAAAAAAAACTTGTTTTACCCTGCTTTAACATATACCTTTCATAGATCAAACGCCGTCGTCTTTATCTTTGTGGTCGTCTCGGAGAAAGAATCAAAGGATACAGAGAGATAACTGAGGAACGAACGATCAAACAAAGCAGCGGAGATCACGAGACGACGGCGTTGATACGGAGATGGAATTCACTGGATAGCTTGTGAAATTCATCAGCTAAATTATTATAATTAATAATAAAGAAAACATTTATAGTTTCTGAGGAAAATTCAACACTTTGAATTGTAAGTTACTTGGGCGAAAAGAAAGAAAATAAATAAAATTATATTTTTGAGCGAAAAAGATAGGAAAGAGAGATAGGTCGGCAACATTTCCTTGTAGCTTCCATTAGTGAATGTATTATCTATGTAAAGGGGTAGTGTGAAGGCAAACGATGTCGTTTTAGTTCTCGAAAATACGTAAACGACATCGTTGTATTTGTTTTGTCCGTTGTGTATACTTTTTGACCTTTTGTTCGACTATTGAAGAAGTCGTTTTCATTTGAGCCTCTTTGATTTAAGGGTGTCTTCAATATTTTTTATATTTAATTAGTTACATAAAAATATTTAAAAAAAAAAAAAGAATTATTAACGTTTTGTTGATGGTGTCTATTCATTCTTTATTTCATTCTAATAGCAGTCATTTCCACTGTCGGGCAGAAAACCCTAGTTTCATTTATGAGCATATTAGAAAGTAATGGCCCGTTATTATTATGTAATATTTTTTTTATTTTTGTTAAATTTGTTTTTACGTGAAATTGAAAAAAAAAAATTGATAAATCTATCGGTGTGTTTTGTAAAATGTTAATTTTCTATATTTGATGAGCTAAAATTTTTGCAACATATTTCCTCTAGAAAATAAGTTTTTTTTTTCTTTTGAAATGAGGAAATGATTTCTATAATAAATATCATGACTTGATATCAATTAAAAGTTGGATTACAAGTATGTAGCGTAAGAAAACCTTGCATATTAATCGTTTCGTTTGTTGATATTTTAAGGAACTAAGTTTTACAAGATAGTTATGTACACTTATTTTACATAATAACAAAATGTGATACATTGTATAGACAGTTAGTTGAGATGCAGATTGAGTTGTTTTGATCTTTGATCAAAAGATTAAGACCTGATACATATGAGAGAAGAAGAAAAAATATTATTCATAAATTACAAGATTGGAAAAAGAATCAAATCACAGTTGCTTGAAATAGGAGGTATGTACATACATGAAAGCAAGTGTACAATTACTTCAATATAATGACTTAAGAACCAAGTGCAAGGCTGATAAGGCTAGGTAGATAGCTATTGTTTCCGAGGTCGGCCAAAGCAGAGACAAATTGATAAACACAAATACAAGTAAAGTTGTCGATCGAGTTTATTCTTTAAGTTCACGAAAAAAAAAAACACAAATCTTCTTGTGGTTCATCTAGGAAAATGACCGCAGACTGGCACTACTTTGACTTGAAGTTCTTTCATCATTCAGCTTTTTATTGGTAAACTAAGAAGTGATTGACTGTACAGAGAACTATCTCCAAATTACCTCCAATGCATCGATTAATAAATGAAAAGGATAAACGTAGTTCTTTTACACAATTCAAGTAGTTCATATATCATAATACTCTGAAAAACTATATGAGCTCTAAGGCAGTATATTGATCACAATAATCAAACTACTTTCACTGCTAGTAATATAAGTAAATGCAACAAACTATCAACCACAACTACACAAAGGCCAAGATATATATATATATATATATATATATATATATATATATATATATATATATATATAAATATGGTCCAGCAAAATCTATAAAATGGAAAAAAATTGTACTATAATGGAAAAGTCTAGTTTTGTGACTTCAATTGTGGCTTAGGATTTATAGTCTTTTATCATAGTTTTGTGCTCTTTAAACCGAAGACATTTTGAGGAATAGATTATAATGCCCAAAGTAAAGACACCCTGCACATACCGAGAATCACTTCAAATGATACATTCAAGAGTTCAAAAAAAAAAAACTTCCATTGAACCGTTGTTGAATTATGTCTTGAAAGTGTTAAACACTTTAGCTTGTTTTACCTCTTCTCAAATCTAACTCGAACAACGGAAAAAAATTGTGTGGGACATCACAAGAGCTTAGAATCAATAAGTTTAAAGGAATGATATTGCTACTTATACGCAAGTACACCAATATATGGCAGGCTTATTGTATTGATTAGACTAACTAATAGTGTATATGCAATCACTTACGGTGCTCACTTGTTTTTATAAAAAATCAACGGCAACATCGAAGACAAATTTGAGGCGAAACAGAGATGAAAGAGCATCTCAAATTTCTGAATTCAACAAAGACGCAATTCTTATAGTCCAACTGGTAACCCTACAGATCTAAAACAGAAGAATCGAATTGGGTCTTGATTTTCATAAAAAATTATGAAAAATGGAGAGAAATTTCAGAACCACAACCCAAAAATATAACCAAAAAGCAGAAAAAGATAACAAAAAACTGCACATTTCTTAATAACACAATACAATCATTTACCTATACAATAACAACAACACATGCAGGAAAATCAGACAGAAAAACTTGATTTTTTTTGCTTTGCAAAATAAAGAAGAAAAGAGACAGAGCATCAACTCTCATAGAATGTCCTAAATGCACATCAGTTTGGCAGCATTGCTACGTGTCTCTTCCAAAGCAGTATTAAGACACATATGCAGCCTTTATTGATGAGTTTGGTAGTGTAAATACCAAAAGACCCTTATTCTTTTATAAAAATGGCAAAAATCAGCCATCTTGTTGTTTCTTCTATATAAGTAAGTAAAAGTAAAGTATAATAAAAATAAATAATTTAAATTAATTTGACGTTTTTCTTAATAAATTATTTATTAGGAGTTTATTTTAAAAAAATAATTTTATTAGTTATACTTTAAAAATATAAATATGACTATTAATAATCTTATATAGTTATTTAATGATATATATAATATTAAAAAACAATTTGTTTTGAATATAAAAGCTACATAATAAAATTTTATTAAATTATTTAACTATATTAAATTTAAACAATTAATATGTAGAGAATAAAAATGGAAATATATAGAAACTCAATAAAGTTATCATTGTATAGGTGTCAATTGTAAAATTAAATGGACCCCACTATATTCAATGATAGAAGGCATAATATGTAATTTAGTAGAAAAGTGTAGGGTTTTTTCTAAAGATGTTAAGAAGGTACAAATAATAAGGCTCATAGTACAATTTTTTTTATGCAATACTTATCACTTTGAGAAGTTGGAATGACCCCCACTTGCCAATTGAATGACCAATAAGCAGCCTTTGAAACTCTCTCCTCTAATATATACTAGATAAGGATGCCCGTGCAAGGCACGGGCATATTGTAGAAATAAAAGAAGTTGTAAGAAAAGTCGTGCACACATGATTAAAATGAATATCAACGTGACACATTTACATGTATTTTACGGAATGTTATACATGGAGCTATCTAGGAAAGGCCAAAATAGACATGGTAGGTAATTACATATATGTTGCCTTGGCGTGAAAGTTGAATCTGGGAGGTTGTGAATTCTGGAATCCCTCAACACAAGTCTCAACAAAAATAGATTTTTTCAGGTTGAAACTTTTTTATTACTTGAAAATAAATTAAAAGAGTGAACTTACACGGTTCAACGGATAATAAAGAGAAGTGGGAATACATCTAAAACCTTAAATTGCATAGAAAATAACACACCACTTTACAGATGAGCTATTTAAATTTGGAAGAATCCAATTGACAAAAGCATGGAAGAAATGATCTGCCCGACTTTATTCTTATGTTTTCATTCACCTATATATTTTGAACACAAAGGAATAGTCAGTTGGATGTTCTTTAGAAGGAGTAAAGGTGATATTAACTTCAACCACATTAGCAAGTTAACAAGAACAAATAAAGTACTACTAAACATAACTATTTGCAGAAATAGAAGTATGTGTAAAAAAATAAAAAAATAAAGGAATAAATTAACACAAATCAACAAATAGCAAAGAGAAGTGGGATGAAAAGGCTTGTTCATCTAAAACCATACAAAGTTATGGAGAAGGAAGAGGTGTGCTTCTTACTGAATTTGTCTGATTCGACATCGGAATGCATCTTTGCTGGCTTCCACCAACTTGTCTTTGCAGTATGCCTCCAGGTGCAATTCTTTGAGAGAGATGTTGAGGGGATTATTTGTGGGAGAAACAGCAGAAGATTCTAGTCAATTTGTAAACATTAGTGTAGCAATTTATTGAGGTATTCATTAGCAATCATGCAGAGTGAAGTCCCCAAATACTTATCCAAAATAGAAAATGAGATATCTCAAAACTAACACAAGTCCCCCAGCACTTAATGCTGTAAATCTTGGAAATTGAGACAAAAAAGGCATGAAATGTGGAGAGATAACTCAAAAATTTGAGAGACATTTTCTACATCAGAGTATGTCTCCATAATGGCTTCCCACACATTCTTAGCAATATACACAACAAATAAATTGAAAACAAATACTATTGAATAAATTGAACCGCACATGTTATACTTCAGCCAACACTGTAAGGTATACTATTCATTACATGTTTCTAACGGTGATTTATTGTATGAAAGGAAGTATCCTTACATAAATGGAATTAGGAAATTAGATGGATAATAAAAATACAAAATATTCTTAAAGCAGTCATATGGATACAAATGATAGACCAACCAGAGGAAATAAGAGGTCGAAGAGTACAAGCAATCCCCTGAAGTTTACTTTCCTAGAAGATAGAGTTTCTATATTAAGGGGAGATAACGATGATCATAGTGAACAATATAACCAAATGGTGAGGATTACGAAGCTTACAATGCATAAACTAAGGCAGGAGCTTACAATGCATAATTTTGTATTGAACTGCTCCAACTGAAGAATGCAAACAAGAATGATATTCTAGTTTTATATAAGATATGTGTCCTCCATAAATAATAGTTTTTACCGTGCTTAATTGTATAGAAAGGTTGTAAGTATCTCAATTATGGGCAAAGACATACAACTTCTGGATTAAATTTGGGTGTTGGCATCCTCAAAACATTCTTTCTAGTTCTATAGGACTTATATCCCTCATTAGCTAGGTTGCTACAAAAGCTTTGCTGTATGTTGTTGCCATCGTTGGGGGCTTTCGTGTGATAATATTTTTTATTCAGGTGTGCGCTTTATATCTTGTTTGAGCCTTCCTAGTGTGACAGTGTTAGAAATATGGTTTAGAGAGATTTTGAAAGTTAAATGTGAAGTTACCAGACCTTCCTCATTCTTTCTCCATTTGTGCAGCTAT